GAGGGCCTCGGCTCCAAGAGCTCGCTGCTCCTGCTCCTGCCCTTCCCCCTCTGCCCTTCCCCCCTCCCACTCCGCAGGGACCCGAATGCCCGGATGAGAAGGGCGGCACCGGAGCGAGTCCTTTGTCAGCTTCAGCCTCAGCCTAAGGTGGTGAGCAGGAAGCCTAAGCCAGGAGCGAAGCTGCACCTCTCGTTCCTTGGAGGCAGATGGCAAAAGCTGCTTTTCTCGTTCTCAGTTAGCCTCTGTTGCCTTCTCTATTATCTTAGTTCTTCCGCTGTTTCCCCCCGAAACCCCAAGATTTCTTCTGCTCCTGCCTCTATCACCAGCTTCCTGTTTATCCGCACTGCGCCTGCGCTGGAGACCGGCTCAGACCGGTCCCCTTAGCCCGGCTCCCCCTCCTTATTTAGGACCAGCCTATTGAGCTTCATTCGGTAGGGAGAAGTAGAATAGAGGAGACGCGAAAAGCGGAAGATAATGAAAGCAATAGGATGTACCATTTATGTTCGCCACCCTCCAGAACGAGCCAGGCGCCCTGGGACGTACCATTACCCCACCCAAAGAAAGGGACTATGGGAGGAGGCAGCAGTCGGTTGGGGCAATTGGGATAAGGGAAAAGAGAGATATTGACTCTCTCAATGCGCAGGCGCGGAAACGAAGCCTCTAGTTCTTAAAGACGTAGGAAGGAACTGACCTATTTCTATTGAAATTCTTCCAACAGGTTGGCTCATTATGATGGCCTGACCCAGGCTTGGTTCTGTAAAGACAACACTACAAGGAGCTCAGCTAACCCCTGTGTCTTGAATCATTTTCCCCTACCCCCAGCTTGTCACTACCCCTTTAAAAAATTCAATCATTCGTTCCTTCCTTCAGCCGACTGGGCTCTTGAGCCACTATGAGCTCACAGTATAGTGGTAAAGACAACCAAGTGCAAGTACACACATACTCCCCATAAGGTGTATCCAAGTGTTGCCGGAGCACAGAGAAGGACCTGATTTAATCCTCTTTTGAGAAGAGGCAGTGTCTATGGATGGTTTTGCTTTTTAGTTGGATGTTAAAGGATGAGTAGGAGTTAGCCAGAGTAAGTACTGAGGAAGGGAAGTGAACACTCCGGGCAAAAGGAACAGGGTACAACTGTAGGAAGGGGTATAAAGGCCTGGCTTGTTTGGCAATGGGGAGCATGAAGTGTGAGGGAGAAGTGAGATCTATTGGGCCTCGGCATAAACGTCAGAGCTCCCTGTAGTCCTGTTATAATGCACTTGTAAAAAAATGTTTTTTCCTTTATTGATTTTAGAGAGGAAGTGAGAGGTAGAGAGAGAAAAACATCTATGAGAGAGAACATCGACTGGCCGCCTCCTGCATGCCCTGCACTGGGGATCGGGCCCACAACCTGGGCATGTGCCCTGACCGGGAATCAAACCCGTGCCTGGGTCAATGCTCAACCACCGAGCCACACCAGCCAGAGTATAATGCACTTTTACATTTATGTTGGAAGATGTCTTGAATTGTGAGGTACAAATGTGAAATAAGCATCTCAGTCTTTCCGATTAGTAAGGCTTCGTATTGTCCTCTTTCACTTCAGTTCCTCCAGTGGTAGCCCAACTTGTAGTTTTAGGGACTCTTATAGTCCATCTTCTTTTCAGTCCTAGAGTGTTGAGATTGGGGTTAAGGGCAAGCATTTAGGGGACTTCCTGTGATGACAATGGGGTTCATAAGCAACTTCACTGGATACTATGATCACTTGGGGGATTTGGTGCTGTCATTCCAGCCGACCCCAGCCCTTAGTCTCATGATACTTTCCTCTTTGCCTCACACCTCACTTCTGCTAGCAAGTCAGAAGCCACAATTTTATCTACTCTCCACACTTCAGACTCTGGGGTCTGTTGCCCATTTTCCATATCTGTACCTCTCAAACTTGAAGGACAGTTCTTTCCACACACTTTCTTTCCATACTATACCTATAATATGAACCAAAGTTTAATAGGCCTATGATAAATATTTGTGTAATAAATGGAATAGGGCCTTGCTCTCACAGAGTGTACATTCTAGTTGAGGAAACAGACCATAATAAATTCATACATAGGAACTCAGTTTGTGATCAGTAATATGAAGGGAAGAAACTGAGAGATGTGATAAAAAACATAACCACAGCAAGGAGGGGCAACTTCAGGTGGAAGAGCACATAGTAATCCAGGTGAGTGATGACAGTGGCTTTGACTAGGGAACAGCAGTGGAATAGGTGTTGCACCTTTGGTGTTGGAATTGGTGACTGATTAAAGGGGGGTAGAGGGAGAGAAAGAAATGAAGACATACTTACACATTTTGACCTGAGCAACTAGGTGGATGGTGTCATTTATTGAAATGAGGAAGACTAGGAAAGCTTGAATCAAAGCTCCATTTTGAATATGCGAAGTTTGACCATTACAGGTCCACATGAATATGTCAAATAGGCAGTTGGATATAGGGGTCTTGGGGCTCTGACAATTCTGGAGCTATAAACTTAGGAGTCCTCTGCATATAGATGGTATTTAAAACATGGGGTTTAGATTTGGAGAAGAGGCTCAGGTCTGAGCTTGTGGGGCCCGACATTTGAAATTCCAGTTGAGAAGAATGAGTCTGCAAGAGAGGGGTTAGAAGGGGCAGCCAAAGATGTAAAAGGAAAAACAATAAAATACTGGAAGGCAAGAAAGGAGGGTATTTTGAGATGGAGCAGCTGACAACATTCAGAGTCCAACCAATGGCCAAAAAAAAAAAAAAAAAAAAAAATCAGAATACTAACCTGTTTTTTTCTGGTTCCCATTTGTGTGACACTTCCTACTTCACTAAAAATTCTCAACTTCAGAATTCAATTTCCCTTAAATTTGGATCTGCCCTAAAATATAGAGAATATCTCCATACTTAACCAAGTTATATACACATACTCACCCTGCTCATTCATCCAATTATACAGTTATTGAATGCCTATTATTTGCCAGGCCTCAACGATAAGATGGGAGGAGGCCTCAGGAGTTTACAGTGTATCAAAGAAGACAAATTATCACTTAAATAAGTACATAGTTACAAGCCAGCTGGTGTCGTTCAGAGGATTGAGCATCATCCTATGGACTGAGAGATCCTGGTTTGACTCCTGATCTGGGCACATGCCCGGGTTGTGGGCTCAATCCCCAGTAGGGGGCATGCAGGAGGCAGCCAATCAATGTATCTCACCTCAATGTTTCTATCTCTCAAAATAAATAATAAATAATCAATAAAACATGTTTAGCCCTGGCCAGTTTGGCTCAGCGACTAGAATGTCGGCCCACGGTCCAGAGAGACCCGGGTTCAGTTTCCGCTAAGGGCAGGTACTTCAGTTGCAGTTTGTTCCTTGCCCCAGTTGGGGTCATGTGGGTGGCAGCCAGTTGATGTGTCTCTCTCATATCGATGTTTCTTTCTCTCTTCCTCCCTCTCTCTCTCCCACTCTATCTGAAGATGAATGCAAAAAAAAAGTGTCCTCGAGTGAGGATAAAAATAAATAAATTTAAAATGTGTGTGTGTATGTGTGTGTGTGTGTGTGTGTAGTTACAAACTGAGAAGCACCATGAAGAAAACGTATAGGGAACCATGAGAGCCTGTCACAATGTAATCTTTAGATTATGCATGACAGGCACAAAATCCATCATTCACACACAAATCTTTACTTTGTCACAAGGCCACCCTGAACAGAGACTTGGGATACTGGGTCTAGTCTCAATCCTATAAATGTGCCTGTTTCACCTGGCCAATGTGGCTCAGTGGATTGAGCATCATTTCATGGACTGAGGTCCCAGTTCAATTCCCGGTCAAGGCACATTGCTAGGGTTGCAGACTCCTTCCCCAGCATGGGGGTGTGCAGGAGGCAGCTAATACATGTTTCTCTCTCACATCTGATGTTTTTCTCACTTTCTCCCCTTTCCTCTCTCTGAAATAAAAATAAAAACAAAAACATTTTTTAAAAATGTACCTGGTTCCTCTTCTGTACAATGGAAGGTTGAAAGGTAGACTAGATCACAGATTCTTAACTTAGGGCCCATGGATGGGCTTCAGGGATACAAGAATAAATAAAATAGTGTGCATTTTTTCCTCCTGGACTGTGGGCCCAAGGTTTTAATCAGGTCCTTCAGAGGGGTTGTGACCTAAAGAAACCCGAGGGCGTAAGGAGTAGATAATTGTGTAATGTGATCAGGGACAGATGACAAAATGATGTACTGTGGAAGTATTTGTTTCTTGGACACCATGCCTCTCCCTTGACCTTTTCAGTGTATACAGTAATAGAAGGCCTGATCCCCCTTTTATGGATGGTTAAGCTTAGTCACTATATAATGGTACCCTTGAGAAAGGATGGGAGGAACTTACCTTTGGTGGCTACCTCTCCAGGAACAAAACAAAGGTTCCCACCCCACACAAGAAGTCTCTAGTACCCTAGTGTCACCTACTCCATGGCAGCCTTCCCTGGATCCACTCCATCTGATCCCCCATCATTCTTGGCTAGAGTATAGACACAAATGTATGTCCATACTGGAGGCATGGTTGGGATGTTTACATGATGAAATTTTCATTAGAAACTAAAGGGAATTCTCCACCTTAAAAGAAAGCACTTTGAGATTAACTGATGTCTATAAATTAGAAATTCTTGATTCAATTTGTAATGTCTAGACAAAAGACAGCTGGTCTGGCACAATCTTCAGGACATCAATATCCTGTCTCTTCTTTGTATCCTCTAAGGGGAGAGATTCACATGGGTGTTTCTCTGAGGTCAGGTAGGTTTCCAACCCTTCCAGAACCTGTGCCTTGGTTTCCTGCCAAGAGTTGGCCATACTATGAGAAAGAGAGGCACTTTCTTTGGGATCGACAAGGCTGCAGGTACATGAGTTAGAGATTGTGAGGTATGTGTGGGTAGGAGGGACAAAAAGGTGGAGACAACAGCCTGTGCATAGCCATTGTGTTTTATTGGATCTGGTGTATTTCTTATTTTACAAAATATACAAAGGAGCCAAAAATGCAAAGCAGTCAACAGTGTTCTGATGGGAAAGAAAGCTTCCTGGGGGCCCTTCCCCTCAGATCATGGCTAATGGGATAAGCAGTTATATTAAGGAGTGGCAGCATGGCAGAGTTGCTGATGATGACGTGGGACCTGGATCCTACGGTTCCTGCCTTCTAGGTGTGTTCAGGGGCATCTCAGAGTAGATTTAATGGAGCAAGAGGAGACCCTAGGTGGGAATTGAGGAGGCTATGTGGGGGGTTGAAATAATGCCATGGTAGAATAAAGATTCTAATGAATGCCACTGGGTTCAGATGCTATGCCTGCCTCCCTCCTTTCCTTTTCTTCTAATGCATCCACTGGATGGTCCCTGACTCATTCCATGCTGGTAGGCTGAACCTTTGATAGGAATCAGCCAGGACGTCTCCCACCCATATTCTCCTGCTGCCATACAAACAAAAAGGAAGGAAAGAAAAAAATTCTAGGGATGAGCCAGACTTCACAACCCCAGACTCTCTTGGGATACTGAGCAGTGTATGGAAAATTTCTGGGGTATTTCCAAGGAGAAAAAGTCTTTGAAAAGCCTGGAAACTCATATTCTGACTGCTTGATGGTAGACCTGTGGAGCTCAGAGTGATAGCCTGGCATGCCTTAGCTCTCACAATCTCTAGGCCTTTCTGCTCTATACTCCAGCTACCTCCTAGGACCTAACCACTGGCTCAAGCCCAAGATTTCTCTCTTTACATTCTTGTCCCTCTCTTACAGAGCTCTCAAAGGCCCTGGTCTAAAAGGCCAATTAGTGCCAAGGACAGAACAGCCTCTTTGAGAAGGGACTTTAGGAAAAATGTTTATGAGATCAGGGATAGGGGAAGCACCATAGCAGGAAAAATTTGTCTAGTGTTGTGGTTTCTAGAGTTGGGGTGGGAGGTGGAAAACCACTTAATTCCTATAGCAGGGGCACCCTTAGCAATGAATGTCAGGAAGGGAGTGGGAGCTGTTGGGAGTTGGGAATACCCAGATGATATACTCAGCCCACCCCTGGCCTCTTCAGCTCCAATGATCTAAACCACTGAATCTCCAGGCTCTTGTATTCCTAAAGGCCCTAGGGCAGGGCTAGGATGAGGAAAGAGGTGGAAAGAGAAGGATGAGGTCCGACTGGACTAGGGCTAGAGCATGTCCCCCCTGGACAACTGATCCCCTCTCCTGGGGAGCTAGATGACATTGTCAAAGAGTTGCATGGACCTCATGATGTTCTCATCCTGTAGCCATGGTATAAGAGAGGCAATTGGAGAAAGAAAAAACAAGAGCTGGTCAGAGACAGGGAGAGAGACATCGAGTCATAAATGGGGACATTCAGAGACACAGAGAGGTAACAACAAGGAAGGAGACACCCATAGAGACCAGAGGTGAAGAATGACAGGCCTCCCCCAGTTGTGAAGGAAAAGGATTGGGAGTGGGGGTGAGTTAAGGAGATGACATTCTGCCCAAAGGAGCCTTCTCCTATATCATTGAATTAGGCCCTGAGTCCAGACCAGAAAAATGTGGAGGGTGGGGACCTATACCTTTTGACAAGACTCAATGAATTCTTCAATGGTCACCACACCATCCTTGTTCCTGTCCATCTTCTGCAAAAAGGTAGTCGGGGGGAGGGAGAACAGGAGGGACGGCAGGAGAGAGGCAGGTAGAATTCAGGTAAGTTCTCTACTGGGACCTCACCTTCTTCCCTTCACTCCAGGACCCTCCAGCCTACGCAGTCCCAAGCACCTGGAAGAAGCTCTCCACATGTTCCCTTGGGGCCTCCTCCCGGAGTGCAGGATACGTATACTTGCCCATCATATCATAGATGGACTTCATGATATCAAGCATTTCCTGTTAGGCCAAGAAAGAAGAGGATCCCTCCTCAGAGCCTCCAGCCTTCAAACCAGGAGGCATAGGGCCTAGGGCAGGCATCACCCTGCTGGTGATGCATATGTGGGTCACATTTCCTTCCTATGGGCCTTTTACACCTCCCCTCCAGCTTTTCAGTTGCCCTGCACACCTCCTTGGTGATGCAGCCATCCTTGTTGAGGTCATACAGGTTGAAGGCCCAGTTCAGCCTGTCATCTATGGTTCCCCGAAGAATCACTGACAAACCAGCCACAAAGTCCTGGGAAGGAGGCAGGGGGGGAATGTATCTTCAGATACCCTTCACCCAACCTCCTCTCTGGGTTTGTTCTATAAATTCTGGCCCTGAAGCCCCAGGCCTCCCGGGCCCATCTCCTCCAGCTCACCTCAAAACTGACCGAGCCGTCATGGTTGGTGTCAAAGGCATTGAAGAGAAAAGTGGCATATGTGCTGGAGTCTGTAGAATAAGTGGGGATCAGTAAGCTTAACTTCCAGATCACAAAGGATTTCCTACCTCTATGGGTCTCCCCAAATACTTCTTATCACTTGGCATTCCCAGACCCTCCAGAAATGTCTCTCTAATTCAACCTAGACATGGACAGCTGCTCCTTTCAGGCCCTGTCCCCTCACCTCCTTGAGGAAAGAACTGAGAGTAAATTTGCTTGAAGTTCTCCTCATTGACAATTCCGCTGGGACATTCCTGTGAAGTGGGGAGACCATACTGTGGACAGAGCTAAAACCCACTTCCACTTACTCCCCTTCCATACCCCTCTCCCCTCCTCGCCCAGAGATTCTCAGAGAAGGACATCTTCATGTCTCCAGGGGGCTCACCATGTAGCTCTTCTAATGGAAGGCAAAACTTCTCCCAGTGCACAAATAAAAAACAGAACTAACCTGATAGTCTACAGGCTCCGCCCCATCTCAAACAGGCCAGAACTCCGGCTAGAAGTTCGGTCTGCTGGAGGGGAGTGGTGGGGTTGGGGGTGGGGTTTCCTCCCTTCTCCTCCCCCCCCCTTTCCTCTCACACCCCAAAGCCAGGCCACCTTTCTGAGAAGTCCTGGATAGGTCCCGCCCCACCTGTCCCACCCCTCTCCCAGTTTGGCCTGGGTTTGCACTCACGTTCTTGAAGCCTCGGTACAGGACCTGCAACTCTTTGCGAGTGAACTTGGTTTGCTCTTGCAGCTGCTCCAGACCTTCAGGTCGGTGACACACGGTGGACAGTTCAAACTCATCCTCCACGCTGTCTGCGGGAGTTAGAGGTGGGGCGAGGGGAGGGAGAGCCACGCCTCAGGACCCATACATCCCCCTTATCTCTGACACTAGAGACCAGCCTGGCTGTTCACTGACCCCAAGCCAAGTACATCAAGGCAAGGGGAGAAGATGCTGGTCAGCTTCAAGATTTATCAGCGGGCCAGGCCCAAGGACAGGTCTGGCTCCAGAGCCAGGGATCCCACTTGGCCCTGGTCCCTGGTCCCTTGGTCCCTGGTTGGAGAGAAATCCTCAAGCCCATCTTCATCCCTGAAGGAGTTGGAGTAATAAAGACAGGCTCAAGAAGAGGCATCTGTGGATCCCAGCTCTGGGCCTTCCCTGACCAACTCAGATCCACCCAGTCCAGGTCTTGCCTCTCCCAGAGCCATCCCTCCCGCTAATCCCCGCCTACCCCAGCCATGCCTGAGCCATGCCCCGCCCAGCTCCAGCCAAGCCCCATCCAGACCCCACCCTTGCCTCCACCTCAGGTTAGCCTTAGCCAAGGCCCCACCCCATGGCCCCATCTCAGCCCCCAACATCCAGTCCCCAGGCAAGTGACCCCCACCCCGTGCTCCCGAAGTCCCCCCCTCCCCGCCCCCGCCCCCACCAGGAGAGTAAGTCACCTGGGTCCAGCGGGCGGGGTCTGTGGGGGCGTAGGGAGGCTGGGGCGGCTAATGCTGAAGGGAGTGAACTGTCACCGAGAAAGCTGAAGACCTGGCCAACTGCAGACACACACCTCGCTCCTCACACTCACTGCAAATCTCACAGACCTGCGTGTTACAATGCACACACCCAAGGCCCGCGCGCAAAAGCACACGTGACAAACGAGCACAGACACACACGAAATGGACCCCACGCACACTCTCGGCTTCCTTGAGGGACTCACGCCTGTCCCTTTTCCGAATCTCCCCCCCAAGTGGAATCCAGTATCAAACAAATACTCTCAAATAACTACAAAATGGGCCTTTATAGATTGAAAAATGGAGTATGATCCTATGACATTGACAAGGCCCAACTGAGGAAATAGACCTTGAGACAAACGGAGGTCATTCAACTGGGAACCAGGCTGCCACCAGAAAATCCAAGCATCCTGGCATCTGGTGGTGGGCGGGCTCCATTCGCATGGGTGACATACATCTCGACAACCAAAATATGCCCAGGGACAGGGCAGGAGGCCAGAGTCGCAGATACTAACCCAGCTAAGCCACGCACAGACCCTCACAGCCGCCTGGCCCCGCCCTGCCACAGTGGCCACAGCACTGGGCTCCAGCCCCAGCCTTACCATACTAGCCGCGCCCAGACACACAGGTCCCGCCTATTTCTCAAACTGGCGACGCCCACAGACACTAGGGACCCGCCCCCAAACGGACCACACCCCAACACTCGGCTTCCTTTGAGAGCAGTAGCTACTATGCCTGCTCACTCTCATGCCAGCCAGTGCCCACCCTACCAGTGGACACAACACATTGTTCACACACACACACACGCACACGCACACACGCACACACGCACGCGCCCCCGTCACACTGGTCCCATCCCACACAATGGGCCCCGCCCCCGGAAATACAGGAGCGGCACTTGCTTTCACTGACTGAGGGCAGGGCTTGGGGCCCGCAGCACGGCAGCAGCTTGAGGAACCGCTGCTTCAGCGCTTTTTTAGTAGGCCCTGGAGGGTGGCCTGGGAAGAGAGAAGACCCAGGAAGGCACATTAACCCCATTGCCCCAACGTTCCCTGTCCCTTTCCCACCATCACAAATTAACCCCGGCTGGGGGCAGGTGTTGGGGGAGGATTGAGGGGAGATTGCCAGGGTAGCTGGAGCTGGCTTAGGGGAGTGCAGTGGGTTTCAGAGGCATGGACCCCCCACCCCCACCCCAGACAGATTGGGCACTTTGCATAATAAAACACAGCTGGGGACAGTGAGGCTGGGGGTGGGGGGGTTGGCAATGGCTTCAGTGTCTGCTGACCCAGTGCCCTGGCCTCCGGTGTCATGGCTGGACCTCTGAGGGTGATGTCCAACCCAAGGATTGGCTGGCTATGAACACCATTCTCACACACACACACACAGATAGGCATGTATAGTGACACACAGAATGATAAATCACAGAGTAATGGTTGCCACACAGTGACAGCCTGATACCCAGTAACTCACACCCGGTGGGATAATTAAGCATTTTTCAACACATGCTCGAACGAGCGCACACACACACACACACACACACACACACAATGCCTTAAAACTCCTTAATACAAACATATACAAATGTGACCTAGGAAAAACATGACACATATACATGAGGACCTCTACAGGCCATCTTACACACTGCATGATCAAAACACACAATGACCCTGGGACATCACGACACAATGTGTTAATGACATACTAGAACCTTATATGTTATGACACATATCAAGGTCACCATGTCACATACCTATTATCATATTGTGACCTATGTGATGTACCAATGGCACCCAGATACCTAAGGCTGCACCTCACATATATAACCTTCATCTTTCCTGGGTACGCCCACCTTTCTGTTCTACAACTCTTCATTCCAAGTCACCAAATCTTCCTGCCAATCGGTCCAGAAGTCCTCATCATCTAACACATCCACCCTAAAAGTGTCCCTTCCCAGTCCTTTCCGATATGGCTTACTCTTTGAAGGTGAAATGATAGGGAACTTTGAGGCAATAACAGAACTTGAGTATTTTGATGTAATGTGGGGCTATTACAATTCCTCTCCCTTCGCCTTATTTACACATATGTCCTACAACTCTAATTGCATCCTAAGGAGACCCTCCACATTCATGTGTGTCTGTCTTCCAGTTGCACCAACCTCCAGATTCCAGGGCCAGTGCCCACAGGTCTTGGCACAGAGAATGAGGTTGACCTCAGTCCATTCCTGGAGGGGCCCAACTTCCTTTGGTTGTAGGTTACTTGGGCATTTTAGCTCCCACACAGGCACTGCCCTCCCAAGTCAGTCTCCACCTCAGATAAGGCCCTGCTCCCAGGAGGTAACTGCCAGAAATTATAGCCTTCTCATCCTCCACTATGTCCTCTCTCCGTCCTCTGCAGCAGGAGCTATGGGGAGGTGGGAAGGAGGTTGTGGGTTGGGTGGGGGATCAATGGCGGCCTGGACCCTTGCCCAGGGCTCCATTAGCCTGGACTTTGGTTTCCCAAAGCCAGATTGTACCTGGGGCCTCTGGTGGTAGAGTTGCCACCAGACTGGGGGGCAGCTCCTGCCCTCTTCCAACCACCTCCTTTTCACACATCCTCCTTACCTGTCCCCAGGACTCAATCTCCTCTATGCTCCTCTGAAGGTAGAAAGAGAAAGGGACTGCCTTCAGCTTACAGGACACTGGATTTCCTGAATGACCTCTTTTCCTACCAAATAGTCCAAAGGGGATGGCAAGTTAGAGCTCAGCTGATTTTATCTTTTCAAGATTGGATGAACCCTAGTTCATCTAGGATCAGTTCCTGGTCCTCACCCCATCCCGATAAATACAGCAGAGGATGGAGAGTGGGCTAGTTTTCCTCTCTTACTGAACACTAGAGCAGACGATTCATGCACCTTCCTCTTGTCCTTAGCTCCTTTCACATCTTTTTTGTTCTCCCCTGCAGTCCTCCTATCATGATTCTGCCTGTTTTCCTGATCCTGGTGAAACTGGGGAGCAGCCATGCTATGAAGCTGCACAGTTAGTTCTTGGTGTAAAGAGGAGGGAGAGGCCAAAACTCTCCAGGGGTGGCAGAACATATTCCCCTCTCTACCTCCAATATCACTCTCCCCACTTGACTTTGGAGTAGAGTGGAAAATTGATTTCCCACCTCCAACGTCTAGGACCTGGAGACCATTCTACCCTTAGATCCTGAGAAGAAATGCAGGTTTTGGAAGCAGGGTCCCTCAGCTGACCCAGGGTCCCTCACCCTCCTGCCAGAACTGATCTATAAATGTCTCATTCACAGTCTTACTATTCCTGTCCCTCCAGAACCTACCTACATCCTAAGTCTTGGGTATAGAGCTAGTATAGTCTCAAAGACCTCTGGGAGCAGCCAGGCACACAATCTGATAACTAGAGAGGCTCAGCCACACACCCTGTCCCCTCAGGCACAGTCACATCCACCATCCAACAAAGCCACAAACCCTGTCACTCTGACACATTAAATCACATCCCTGTCACATACACAGGCTTACACAGCCACACACTTTGTCCTTTCTCATCACATACATGAACACACAGTCACACCCCCTATATCTCTCATGCACTGAGTCCACACACATTCTGTAACCTATACCTGTAAAGATGGAGATGTGGGGAGTCATACACATCATCTTCAGAGCCATTTTGGGCACCTGGACCCAAAAGGGACTCCCCAGCAGTCTAGCGTTATCTCAGGACCCCTAGAACCCCCTTCCTCTATCCCAGATACCCCCGCCTATCTCCAGATCTCTCCTCATGTCTCCCAGACTCCCCTCATCTCCATACCCCAGTCCTCCTACACTGTAATCCTCATCACTCCCTCAGATACCCAGTCCCCTAGATTCCCCCCTCACCTCCCCAGATGCCCTACCCCAGAGTCCCCTTCTTTACCTCTCCTCATGTCCTGTTTCCCAAGCACTCTCCTCATCTCCCGGAGATGTCCTAATCCCATCACTCACCTCAGCTTGAGTCATAAAAGTCAGAGTAGCCCCTCCCCAATGCTGCTGGCAGCTGTCCCTCCAGCCAGCAGCCCAGACCTGCCCAGACACCTGGGTTACCTTCCAAGGAGACAGGCTCAAAGAGTCCAAATTGCTCCAGGACCTTGACAAACAGAGCGAGGACCACAAGCACTGCAACCATCTCCAGCCCTTCCAGGTTCATGGTGGACCTGGGGCATGGCTCCCAATGGCTGAGACTCAGACAAGCCTGCCAGCCCTCCCCTTCAGGCTCCCAACCTGAGTAGGATGCCTGCAGCCTCCCTCCCCTTCTCCCTCCCTGGATCTCCTCCTTCTCCCCACTTCCCTTACCCCGCCCCTGCCCCATTCGCTTCCCAGCCACAACCTCCCAACCACAGCCTCTTCCTCTTCACAGGCCACCTCAGCCTCTGGACTGGCATCTTCTCGGGTGCTTTTGGTGTGACGGATATGGGCCAGGCCTTGCCAGGCCAGAGGAGGGAGGGAGTGACCTGTCTCTGTCCCCAGGACAGCTTCCCCAGACACCTTGTGGCTACTCTGTGCCAAAGGGAGGGGGGAGGGAGGAGCTCAGGGAAAAGGCAGGGAAGGGCAGTGTGTATGAGAAACTATGAGCTGCACATATATAAGGAATAGATGTGTGGGTCAGAATATATTATGGGTGTCTGGGTGTTTTCTTGCTTGTATATTTCTATGTTTGTCTGTATGGAGAATATGTGTCTGTGTGTTTACACGTGATTGTGCACCTATTAGGTGTGTATCTTGTTTATAGGGTTTTGTGACGGGGTGTCTATGGTGTGTGTGTTAGAGTGTATTAGAGTACTTCTGAGTTTGTATGGGGTGTGAAGTGTCTTTGTTTTAGTAGGATTGTGGGATGTGGATCTGAGGACCGGCAATATGGATGCGTCCTATAATTAGGAGTACTTGTCTCTGGTGGTTGTGTAATTGAATCTGTATGAGAATATAAGAGGGAAGAAGGCAGTGACCTCTCCAGTCAGGAGGACACTACCAACATTGATCTACAGTTGCCATGGAGACTGTGGGGAGGAGGGAAGCACTCTCTTCCCACAGGACACAGATAGAGAAACTGAGGCCCAGGGAGGAAGAATTAGATCCAATAGCCTGTACAGGAAAAAGTCTGCTTAGCCCTATCAGGACCCTCTGGGGAGGAAACTTATTTCGGCTGCCTTTGGGACCAAAAGATACAAGTTTCTTGGGAGAGGAGGAGGAACAGTGCTCTTCCCTTCCTCCTGGCTGGGGCCTTGCCCAGGAGCTGCCAAAGCCCTGTCTGCTCCTAGGGAACCATTACTGAGCAGATGGAGAAGCCCAGAGAGAAGAGAAATCTGAACCCTCCGAGGGCGCCACTCCACCCCACCCCCTGGAACGTTCTTGGACCCTCCTCCCCTATCTTCCCAGTTCTGTCTCAGTTAGTGATGGTGGTGGTGGTGGGGGGGAAGGCCCACAGAGGCAGTGAGCTAGAAGACTGAAGCTGCTGAGTTACTGCATAGGTGACTAATGCTAACTGAGCACTCACTATGTGCTAGAAAGAATACTACATGCTTATAGACATTATCATCTTGAATTTTCACAATAAACCTGTGAAGGCAGTACTATTATCCCCACATTACAGGTAGTGAAAGAAACTAAGGCAAAGGGAGGTAAGATCAGTATCAGAGCCTCAATTTTAAACCAGTCTAACTGTGAGCCTGCTGCGCTCCAAACTACACCACTACACTGGCTCCCTTCTTAGACAACTTGCCCACCCAGGAGGCCAATTTAGGGTGATGGACCCCCAGAGGAAGCCCTCCTTCCTGGTCCAGCTCTGGGATGAGTGTGTCTGAGCCCCATTTGTGGGGTGGGGGTTGGGTGGGAGCTGGTCCCATGGCTACATTTGTGTTTCACCGATCTGTAGTTCTATAGGCCACCACTGGGGGTCAGGCCATATGTTACCCCTTTACTTTACCCCACCCAACATCCCTGGAAGGTTTTGAAAGGATTGGGAAGGAAGGG